TTAATGATGTGTATCAGTTTTATTTATGTAATGTTTTGGCATTTTTCATTTGTATTCTTCTAATATAGATTTTCTCCTATTTTTTTTCTCTCTCTCTCTATTTTTAATATTTGGGCAGGATTTGGTTGATTGACTAATGATGGAGGGCTCAAAAGACATACAATCATGTCTTGGCCTTTTTAGAGGAATTGCCAAATTTTGGGGGAGAAAATTGGAAAGAACAGATGGTTTGTGTTTCTATATGAGGTTTGTGTGTTGATGAATTGTGTGATGAGCTAATTGTATTTGGAGTTAGTTGAATTTTTTATATTCCCTAGTTTTTTCCTTTTTTTTTTCAGTTTTATTGTAGTGTGTTTTTTCATCTTCTGATCTTTGTAGAAGTTGCCTGTTGCCAAATTAGATGTTCCTATTTTTCAAGCAAAGAAAAAAAAAATGTTCTTCTTCTTCAACCTTCATTTCATGGCTTTGCTGAAAAGCACATTTGTAGAAACAAATCCTCAATCAAAAATCTTATTTTTGAGATAATTAAAGATTGAAAAGTAGCCATTATTTCTACACAATCACAGTGCATCTTTTGCCATGAACAGCCCACATCAAAAGTAGCGAGCTCGTTGTGTTCATTGAACTTGCTAATTATGTTTGGTAAATTTAGCTAAATTAGTTGGTAAATTAGTTAAAGTATATTTGACAAATTTAGATGATAACTGATAAGTTAGTTGATAGTTTATAAGTTAATTTTGAGCTTATGAGCATGTTCAGTAAGCATTATAAACTAGCTTATAACATATTTACTTAGTATATAAGCTTTTTGTATTCAGATAAGACTGTTTTGGTGATTAATTTTTTTTAAAAAACAGCTTATCTCATAATATCCTTAAGTTGCTTATTGAAAAAGTTCGTTAAATTTTTTATTTTAGCTGACTTATTAACTAATATTACTAAGCACTTTTATTTTATTAATTAATTTTTTAGCCATAAATCAAAAGTTATGAGCTATTATCTCAAAATTAACTTATGAGCTTTCAACTAACATATCAGCTGCAGGCTATCTTTTTAGTGAGATTTCCAATCATATTTTATGCCTGGTAAAATAAAAATATTTATTAAACTTAACCCATTAGTAGTGGAAATAAATTAGAATGCGAATGCCAACGAGTTTAGAATGCGAATGCCAACGAGTTCAATTTTATCATAAAATGGAGGATTTGAAATTTAGAATGCGAATGCCAACGAGTTCAATCCATAATAAATTCGAAGAATTCTTTTTTTTTTTTTGCCTCCAAGAAGAGAGTGGAGCGTGCGGTGAGAGTCAACGGTCAAGGTGACAGCTAATGTCACAGCTGGGTTCGTGTGACAGTCATCACGTTGTAGGAAAGTAAGTAAATGAAAAGATTGAGGAAAAACATGAAGTCGAAAATACAAAAGTGAAATAAGAGAAATTGAAATAAGAAAAATAAAAACAATCATCTGACAAAGTGCAAATGGGTATCCTTACATAAATGTAGAGTGGTGGCAGGAAAGTACTCTCTTATATCCAGTTTCCTTTTTTGGTCCATCACTTGGCAACAAACCAACAACCACCTTCGTGCCCATCCATCTGTCGTCATTTTCTTTTTCTTTTTTTTTTTTTCACTTTTTTCATCTACAGTAAAAAAAATAATAATTATTTTTCACAGCTATTACTATCTCTAGTTGTCGTTATTTTAAAGATGATATAAAAAGTAACTCTGCCCAAAATGATTCAATTCTTTATACGAGCATACTCAATTGACCCAATGTGCCAGGCCAGGAAAGTTAGATCAGCCTAAGCAAAGCCCGTGACCTTAAGCATGGGCCCTAATCTTAAGCTTCAATTACCCAGCCCAACGTAATTTTCCAGTTGGGCCTCAGACCCAGAAACGAAAAGACTCGTCTTGCCAGACCAACTCCATTATACCAACAAAAAGCACGGCAAATGCATGAAACAAACTCCAACAGTCTGATCAACCTATTTTAGCTAAAATATCCCTCAACGTCAACAAGGGAGTTACAACTTTTGACAGAAGTAAAAGAAAACCTCTCAAAGTCTTAAGCTAGTCACAAGTAACAACACATTAATTTAAAAAAAAAAAAAAAACTAAGTCATATTATACTTCCTTTTTTCTTCACAATTATACAGATCGAACGAGAAGAAAGAACATTTACCATGGCGCATCAACCTCCTCCTGAAACTTAGCCTGATAGCTCTCAGCTTTCGCCTGCAAATTCTCCACATCACAAGCACACTTACCATACAATTCCTTCAACTCCACAAGCTTCGTCTCGAGTTTCCAAATCTCATCCTCAAGTTCACTTTTCTCCTTCTGGGCCTCAAAGTACCTCCTCACATCCATCCCGCCTTCTGAATCGTGCGCCAAACTGAGAAGCCGGCGCAAACGGGCCCGCAAAAAGCCCACATTCAGCCCGAGAAGCTCAAACGACCTCAGAGACTTCTCACCCACCTCAAAATCCTTTCTTGGGGTGGTCAGCTTACAGCCCCTTATAAAGTCAGCAATGCTTATGGTTTCAACTATCATTCCAGCAGCTAGCTTGCTGTAAAGGCCCGGGAGAACACGGTCGTGAAGGTAAGCATTCTTGCTGCAGCATAAGTCGTAGTAAGCCCGGCGAATGTGTTCGGGCAGTTCTGGGTCGAGACACACACCATTGACCATGATGCGGAAGTCCTCGAAGCCCTTTATGTCGTTGAATTGGATGGAAGATATGTTGGACTTAGTGCCCTCGAGGACCTCGGAGGCAACCTCCTCGCTGTTGTTTCCGGAATGTTCTTCGGGAAAACCGACGATATGGGGTCTTAGTGAGGGGAATTCGGTGTCTTTCTTCTTCTGCACGACTGTTAGAGGGAGAGATTTCGGGCGCTTTTTCTTGGTTTGGGCATCCATGTTTTCCTCTGTGGTTGAAGTTTTTCAAGATAACCCAGAGTCAACACAATAAATAAATAAATGTTCCTCCGTAAACAGAAAATATCTTTTAAACCCTTTTTGGGTGTGTGCAGGGGATGGGTGTTTGTGTGTGTGTGTGTAGAGAGAGAGAGAAAAAAAAAAATAAGAGAGCTGACCAGCATCCTGTTTTATTTTGGAATCCAATATCAGAAGACTAAGAGCACCATCAACCTCGGTCAAATCGTTTGCCCTTATAACATATACCTACATAAAGAGCTCTATATCAGTAAAGGCTATGAAAGGTGTCGACACTGAGTCAAACAGTAGGAGTTTTCTGAAATAGTACAAGGTGGCCTGTGTAAAATAGGATTTTCAACATAATGAAGGAAAAAAATGTCAAGCTTCTGTATTTCAAGTTCCGCCAAGTAGTACTCTCAGAAGATGAGATCATGCAGACTGTTTTTACTATAATAAAATCCAAAAGTTACAACCTCTGGACAAATATATACTTTCAGTAGTTCTTTCATTTGTACCCGTTCTTACTACATGGATTTCGGCCATGCACCATACTTCCTCCTAAATTAAATAATTTACTGATAAAAGATAAATTTATAGATTGAGATGAACAGATGCTGTGGTATTGGCTAAGAAGATGATAGAGGCAGCTTTATGTTATGTAATGTGTGGCCTTCAGAAAAACAGGATGAAATAAAATTCAAAATCTTTTTTAGGAAATGAAATTTTCAATTTGTCCATAAAAATTAAGTCTTTGCGAATGATTGATAAAGGCTGGCATGGTCAGTTCTAAGTAAACCATATTGCTTTCATCACCTTTAATCTGCAAGGCTCGATTAGTTGGAAGATCAGAACATCTCCTTCAATCAACTTGTTTCCAGCAACAAATTTTCTCCACCCAGCACTTAGACCCGTCTTATGCGCAATGTATTTGATCGAGAACTCTTCCCCATTTTCATTTTCAAGAACAACCTGAGTGTCCTTGCTAGGTAAGTGTATCTTGCAGAAGGGAACAGGAAGACCCTGCACACAAATGGTGGTACTTATATGTAGTGTGAAAATGCATCCAACAAATCTGCTGAGCTGATATTTTGGAGGCATAATAATCCCTTCAGACGTACCATCCAGAAACAACTGGCAACATGTGATCTGACTAAAACTTTTAAAAACGAAGGGTGGTCTTTGCTCAAACTCATCTGAACCTCCTCTGCTCGAATCAAAGTAGGTGACTTCACTTGGGCAGGATTGCTTGATCCACCAACTGTGGTATCTCCTTTACTGCCCAACACAAACAAGTAATTGTCATGCCAATGATCGCAAAAGTTCTTAAAAAAAGTTCATGTGAACAATTGAGCTAACCTTATCTGTGTGCCTCCACTATCAGGCGAACCCTGCTCAAGCAATTTATAAACCGGCTGTTAAGTGAGGAGATAAGCAGACACGTTAAGTAATTTGATAACATGAAGAGTAAATAAGCACTTGGTTCCCTTTGCTTCACGAACCAAGAACCTAGTGCTTCAAGTAATTTGTTAGAGAAGGAAGATCAAATTGCTTTCCACCTCACTATCTTTGCCCATCCAGATAGCGCTTGGATTATTTTGTTCATAAGTACATTGTGTGGGAAAACCACATTTCAATTTTTAATTAACTTGAGAAAAAAACAGAAACAGTGGCATGAAGGAAATGCTAAAACCATATTTAAAAATAATGAGAAGCAAAACATAAATAACAGGAGATAAACTGAAAACAGAAAGCTATATTTAAACTATAATCTAACTTGGATACTGTATTTGATTAGTTTCTTGTGATCATTCACCATAGTGGCAGAGGTGGTGTTAGCAAAGTGTAAACCAAAACCCCAAAAACACTGCCCATTGCAACTGAGAAAGCTCAGATAACAAACCAAGTCAAGCCTAGTATATTTAGCCAAAAGTGTCACAGTTTCATCAATACGATTCCAAGTGTAATCAAATTGTTGTCATGGCGGATTTCTACCTAATCGCCATTACAAACTTGTGAAAGATAGCATTACGGCAGGATTTCAGTTTGAACATTTTCCCCCATCTGCCATTGATAACACTGACAATGCCACTAAGTTTCTTCCGAAAACACAAAGAGTCAGCTTCCTGCAAGAAAGACGACTCACTAAGGGGAAAGGCGAACTGTGTGGTCCAATGAAATCTTTTCGTTTCTCTTTTTGCCTCCTTGCCTTAGGTCAGACTTAACATGCACGCACCTAGATGAAACAAACACTGATCCACAACCACCTTTATTAAGTCAACCCTGGTCAATCGAAAGCCACCTTTGAGGAGACAAGAACGAAGAAACCCCGCCAATCAGTGCACCAGTTGTACTCAGGCACAATTACAGCCCATATTTACTGATCAGTACTTAGCAAGCTTGAAACCCTAATCAACCAGTGCACCAAATTATTATCTAAGCACATCTAAAAGTTAAACCCCTGTTTCAACCCCCAACCTACCTGTTACGTACACGTAAACAATTCTATAACATCTCACACAATGAAACAGGAGACAGACACAACTCACTTCCTTAGGTTTCAAAGAGGAGGATTTCTTCTTCTTCCTCCTGTAGATGGGAGAAACCTCGTCAATCATTTCCTTCGGCTTCCTCTTCCTCTTGCCCTAAAACATGGAACAAAACCAGATCTGATATCAATTACGTATTTCTATCAGCGAAAACCATCAAAATCACGTTTTCCAGGCCCGGAAAAACTTACGGAGACAAGCATCGGGTTATTATCGGGTACCGGAGGAGCCTCCAGCGCCAGAAAGCCCTCACTCGCCGGCGGGACGCGAATCGGAGACTCCTCCGCTTGCTCGACCTCCTCGGCTTCGGTTTTCACCGTTTGCTCCTCGCCGCCGGCGCCGACGCGATTTTCCTGATTTTGGTGGACTATTATCAGTTTCATTTTCTTCGGGTGCACAGGGAATTAGCCCGATCTCCGCCGGGTTTTACAGTAAAACAAGCTTTCCAGGCTTTTCTATTTATTGTTTTTTATTTTTCTGATTTATCAAAGGAAAATGTCAAAAAACTGAAAGGCAAAACGTTGGATTACAATCAAATTGAGCCTGAAAATTGAAATTTCTCAACTTCTCATATACAAGCCCGACAGGCGCGGGTACTGAAACGTGGTAAATAAAAATTGGAAAAGCAGGCCACAAAGACGTGGTAAATAAAAATTAAGTAAAAAGATTGATAATAATATTAATTTTTAATTCTCTAACTTAAAAAATCCTCTAATCAACAGTGTTTTTTTTTTTCGAAACCATAGATAGTTTAATAAAATAAGACGCACAAAAATGCAAGGTACAACACTATTCGCCACATTAATTTTTTTAGTATATGTATATGTGTTTTAATGTAGAAATTTAATATAATTTTATGTATTAATTTAGTTTGATGTTTATTTCTTTTTTTAATAATGTATTTAGCTATAGTATATTGATAATAATAATATTGAATTTTTTATAAAGATCATTGGTAAATTTGTGTATAAGGTATGTATATTAATTTATAGTAGTTATGGATGGTTAGGATTCAAATTATTAATATTAGCTCAACATATACTAATTCTATATTCTAAACATATGATTTTAAATATTCTAGACATGATTTTAGAATATATATAAGATCAAAAAAAATTATTTAAGATTAAATATAGATATATATTAGAATTTATTTGAAATAAAAAATAATATACTTAATGTAAAGTAAAACATAGCGTGGCGGGGGAGATGAAACTAGATAGTTGACTTATTCTACTCTATATGAGAGTAAACTCTACACAAGAGTAGAGTAGAGTAAACGACAGGAGATGTTATTAGATACTTTTGTCATAGTTTTCAGCATATATAAATAATTTTATTGAGATGTTATACATTAAAAAATAACATAAACAAAAATATGACATTTCATAGTATAACTAAGCATTTTCGTTGAAAAAAAGAAGATTAATTGATGACCCGCCTAAACTCAAATCGCCTCGTATAAGAATTTGTGTACAAATATAGAATGTGATTAGTATGTGCGCTAATTTATGATGATTTAAAAGATTTATTAGGGATTTGTTGAATTTGAAAATCATAAACTATTTTAAACGTTTATGTTTTTTTTTTTTTATATCTTTCATCTTCTATATATAATATATTTTGAATTATTTTTTTATAAGCTGTAATTTGACATTTATATTGGATATATAAAATAAAGATTAATATTTTTTTTAAAAAAAGTTACACATAATTTTTTAAAACTAATAATAGCATAATATGTTTGGCCCATTTTGTTGTCATTTTCTGTGTTTGTTTGGTGTCATTTTTACCCGTATTATATATTTTTCTATTAAACTTGGTCCACTTAGCCCGAGTTGCTCACGAAGATCGTCGCAGCCCAGATGGATGCCCAAGGTTGCAGGGCCTCGCGAGCTTCTGTCGAAACGTTGTTGGGGCCGCAACAACCCTCACGATGTGCAATAAATTCGGACACAAGAACGCACTAGGATGAGTCGTGAGGCCGCTTCCAAAGACCCACCACAACTTCCCATGACGAAAGAATGTTATGAAACTATAATTGGGCAAATTTTTAGCCTCCTTAATAGAACATAAAGTGTAATTTTGTGTTTAGCACATTTGTTTTGCATAAAGTGTAATTTTATATTTAGCACTTTTAGTTATTGTAGTTTAATTTGTGGTTTGTGAATATAAAAAAGACGGCTTAAGGAGAATGAAGAAAACAAAACAAAAATCAAAGTCGAGGCACATAATAATTACGTTCTCCTTAAGACAAAATTGCCCCGTAAAATACCGACGGTTAAAGGCAAACGCCTCCAAAATACAACGACTTTCGACTTGTATATAGTGGTACTACAAATATACAAGCCTTCGGCGAACACTACTATTGTTTGGAACTCTCAAGACTCAACGAAAAAATCAAAGAATACAATATGTTTTATGAACTTTGAAAATATAATGCAAGAACTCTTCCCTTTTCAAGTCCTTAATGATTTCAAGTATGTGGGTATTTATAGATGTAGGGAAATACCTCTAAGAGGTTCAAGTGTCAAAAGACACCTTTTGGGACGTGCCCGAACGAGAACGGATGCATCTAGTGGCCAAAAGATACCTTATGGTCACCAAGGGTTGCGACCCTTTGATTTCAGCAGCTAGTTGTGCGCCCGTACGCGGCGGGCTCGTACGGACTCGGAATCGAGTTCCGTTTTTTCCTATTTGTCCCCAACGAGCCCTTCTACAATTCTAGCATACATAATGCATAATTATGGCTCGTTTAGTTTGTCCAAACAGTCAAAACAGAATGTTTGTGAACCCTACAATATTTGAGTTATTTAAACTCAATTAATTAACATATAACACTTAGAATTAAATTCTCATTCACCTTAAAAGGTTTTGAGAATTTCCTAAGTCTTCTACTTACGAAAAATAGAATTGTTAAATCGGTACAAAACCAATTTTTCTTACAATCCCCCATATGAATGAAATTAATGCATGTATGCAACACTTGAGAGTTCCGGCGAACCGTCATTGCATCAGGATAGATAGCTTGTGGCTTTGAATCTTCCTTAGTGAAATACTATCGGATACACTAGCCGGTTAGTAGCGCGATGCTTTGAACTTACCGGCTGTTTGTGTGCACCAAGACAATAATACTCACACAACAACAGCTCTAACAATTTCTTGTTCTCACGTTGTGTCCATTTCGGCCTTGGACCATATCTGGTTTAGTAAGTGTTTGTTGAAGCGGCCTATTTACTTCTCACTTACAAAGGTGATTCTCCTATAAAGAGTATTCTGCCTTACTCCACCCGTAAGTATAGGAATCATTAAAAGTCTTTGACTTAGCCTCACCACTTAGGCAGATTTTAACACTTGACGGTTCTAGAAATGAACAAAAATTTTCAAGTGTTTCACTGAACTGTCAAAACTTAGTTTTCCCATTGAACCAAAGTTTCGGGATCTCCGATTCTCATGGTTGGGTTACCGCTAAGACCGTTCGTTCGTTGTGGATTTTTATTAAGCTCATTCCCCTACATAAATCATTTAAAATTAAACCATACATAAATCATTCATAAATGAGTAATAAACTACAAAAAAAACAATGCAATTTTGAAATAGTGATAAAAGATAATCACAGATAAGCCATTCATAAACACGAGAGTTGGTATATTTTCAAGTAAAAATAAAAACATTTTAAATATGCATGTATATTACTCGGTTAGTAATTTAGAATTAAGAATAAAAATATCGTAACTATACAATAAAAGATATGGTTTGTAGATCAACTACATAATTTTCTAAAGACGATATCCTTGTTACTTTTGGGCCGAGCCATAGGCTTGGCTTACTAATAAATCCCTTTTATAGTTAAGGACCCTTTTCTCCCAACTGTGGCCCTCCATGATGGCCACCGGCGTCCTCGCCGGGATTTGCTCTTTTAGAGTTATCTTCGTCACTTACAGGGTTTCGACAAACTCAAAGTCTCGTCGGAACCCATGTAGGGACGGTGTGCGTGCTTTCCTTGTTCACTCAAAACTGTAATCATCAAACAGTTTGGGTGTACGGTTGAAGAAATGGAGGTGTACGGTTTATTTTCTGAAAATGCTCAAGACCTCAAGAGGATGGAGACATATTCATCATGGGCCGACAAGATCCGGTGTTTTTCATCGAGAATGTACAGATCGAGAACTTTCCTTTATATGAGGATTATTTTTTTTATTTTTTTTTTTGTTTTGATTGAAACAAATGTCTGTGTTCTTAAGTATTAGTGTGCAGTGATTTCTCGTTGGGGTTGTTTTGGGTTGAAAGGTTGATAATTTTTGGTTTTCATTTTTTGGTTTTTTTTGGGTTAAAAAATGATTTGGGGATGCTATGTTTTCATTTAAAACTGATGTTAGTTAGCATATCATTTTATCTCAATAGCTTATGGGTAAGGTTGCTTTGTTTTGATAGGAAAAATTCTTCACCTTTTGTTGCTCATATCACTTGAGGATCACTATGCGGAACTGCACCTTGCCGAATGATGTCATCCGACACATTTCAACCAGCATTCGAGCTAGAAGATGCTGATTTGACCCTGTTTATTATTGAATTTGGAGGTATATCTTCGAACTTGGATGCCTAATTGTGTATTTTATTGATGCTGATATTGTCGATGGATTCGTCTGATCAAAGTAATATATATTAGAATATCATATTCAGTGGAATTTATAACTTAAATGTGCTGATGATAGATTCTTTTATTGTGAAATTACTCGAAAGTTCTGGTATCCGTGAAGTTCTTATTTTAAGTGAGGTTTTTATTGCAGCAATCTTTTATACAGTAATAATAAGGAGGTGCATGGCAAGAGTATACCATATAGTATGATATATTTTTCCCGCAATCTTGAAGACATGAACACCACGGAACTATATCTCAAACATCACCAAAATCTTCAAAGTCATCACATTGCATATGATTATACATCTTCTTTATGATTACATTTTATAAAAAGTAAATAATCTAAAGGTATATGGTTCGATTATGCCATTGCTAATAGCCTTATGCCATTGCTAATAGCCTTTTAGATTGATACTATCGAACAACCAGATAGTGGCCATCTGGAAAGATATTGGCAATAAAGCTATTAAGCTACGTCACTAATGGTGCTATAAGTAGCACCATTACATCTTGACCTAGCTATCTCCGCCGTTTGCCTTAACTCTCTCTTTCCCATAGCCGCTGTTGTTTGTCGCCAAAGCTTTTGCTGCTGCCGATCTGTGCCTGCCAGATTTAGGTTAATCATTTTGTTAAAGTTTGATGATTGTTTTGTCATTGTTGTATTTTATATGTTGTGTCAAAATTTAGAAGTTCTTTTGTGGCGAGATAAATTGATTATATGCTTTCAGCCCTTCAAACAGCCCATTGAAAATCCATGGTCTCCAATTTGCTGAAAGAGTAAATGAGTAATTAAGACTTTAAAGAGTAAGTGAATCGATCTAATAGGATATAAATGTTTGATATTCTGGCGTGTTTTAATGAATCTAATCATCATCCACATCAATAAATAAAAAGAATTTGATGTGTTTTTCATTTGATGATCAGTTATTTCATGATTAAATGAAGCTTGCCATTTGTTTGTCTCCTTGTGCTGGCTTTCAAAGTAGCGAAAAATCTTGGATAATTCGAACCATTCCGTCATGATTATATGAAAATACTCGGAATGTACTGTATGCTTTCATGATCCAAACCTAATCATCATTCAGACCAAACTTATATACTTCAATTCTTCTATCCTACAGTATTTTCAGTAAACAAACGAAAATTATGCATGAATGGGAGCTCATATGTTCCTTCCATTTCGAACAGGATTCTTGTTGTTTTGTGGTAAAAGAGATTCACGGAGAGAACACCGATGGCTGACTTCATCAGTCACCTCCCAGACCACATCATCTGCCTCATCCTCTCTTTCCTACCCACCAAACAGTCTGTTGTAACGAGTACACTCTCCAAGAGATGGAGACCCCTTTGGGCCCACGTCCCAACCCTCGATCTCCACAGTGGGGCCCACCACCCGAATTTCCCCGCAACAGTCGACCACGTCCTTTCCCTCCACGAAGCGTCGACCCTCGAATCATTTTCCCTCTACCAAGAGAACTCGACGGATTTCACAGAGTCTGAGCTCGAGAACTGGATCACTCTCGTCACCAAACGCAACGTGAAAATCGTCGAACTCAATTTCGACTCCGAAATTATGGTCAAATTGCCGAAATGCCTCTTCACGTGCCGGACCTTGGTCGATCTGAGGCTCGAAATTTGCGCCATGCCCACTTTCACCGAGCCTTTATCATTACCCAGCCTCAAGAGACTCTACCTATGTTTGGTTCAATACGAGGTCAATTATGCCCTTCCTTGGCTGCTTGAGGGGTGTCCGGTTCTCGAGGAGTTGACTGTGAGTGGGATTGCGAATGCTTTGGACCAATTGATTGTGGCCTCGGACTCGTTGAGGAGTCTCGAGCTCGAACTCTTGTTTGACAATGTGAATTGTTTTGTGCTTGTGGATGCTCCTGGGCTGAGGTGGATTAAGGTGAACGAGTGCTCGTATTTGCGTATTGGGTTTAGGCGGGCGGTTAATTACTTGGTTGAGGCGGAGATTGGCTTCAATGATTACATGTTTCAAGAGAATGAGGTCCTCTGTGCTGTTGGTGTGCTGTGCTTTATGCAGAGACTGTCTGGTGTGAGGAGGCTCAAATTGTCGGGTTCGGTTGAGGAAGTACGTATAAGAATCTTTCATTTTCTCATTTATTGTGTATGTGTATGTGTGTGTGTGTGTGTTATTTGGTTTCCACTATTGGTCAGGTTTTCAATTAATAGAAAATGGTTTAAAATTACTAGTTGGTCATGTGATATGATATCCCAAGTCATGTTTATCTTTTCTATTTAAAAGATTAATAATTTCACTCCCTCCATTTTAAAGATTAGATAGTGTGTATTTCGATGGAGGACTTGATATATTAAGTCCCATCTCTTCCCTTATTAATTTGCATGACTAACAACAAAATATAATCATAAAAGATGTAAATTATAAGAGTTTTTAACTTAAATCGGCAACCGATTCCTAAAATAGTATGATTTTTCAAATTGCAAGTTATTAGTTTATTATTAATTGTGGAGTTCTTATATAGCAGCCCTCACAAATTGTTTTTATGTGTCTGGTTTTGACCCTTTTATTTCTCTGCAGTTTCCCGACCTTCCTACTGCCCAGTTATACGTGTCGTTTAGCAATTTAGTCAGCCTCGAACTAGCTACTGACTGGCGTATTATCCCAAAGATCTTTAAGAGCGCAGAAAATCTTGAAATTCTCATTATCCATAAGGTTTGCTTTGCCAGCACCAATATTAAATTATTTTAAGCTTTTTTGCTCTTGATAATTTCTTTTTCGTCTACTATCAGTATTTTTTTTAAGGAGTTTTTGGCTAATCGTTGTTATTCACAGGGTTATGAGAACCTGAAAAGGTGGTCAGAAGCCATGGAGGGACAGTGTGCTTGCATTCTCTATTCCCTCAAAACTGTTGTGATCTATGAGTTCGGGTGGACAGATGAAGAGTTAGAAGTTGTGCAGTTTATTTTGGGAAATGCTGGTGTTCTCAGGAAGATGGAGATATGTTCCTCAGCTGACGGCAATTCTCCCGAGACAAGACTCAACATGCTCGAGATAATCCAGTCTTTTCATCTACAATCTGTAGAATGCAAGCTCGTGTTTACGTGGGAGGATTAAGCTTGGTTTTAACTGTTGGATGATTAGCACAAATGTTACTTCTTTCATATTCGGGTGGTGACTGCATCTTTGGATTCGGATTGTATTTAGTATTTTTAAAAATTTAAATATTATACACTATATTTTTTTTAAATAGTGTCAGTTTATAATATTTTCACAATTTTTTAAAATTACCGTCATTTATTTAGCAATTAATATAATATATTGTTATAAGGCATGTGTATGAGTAAGGGAGAAGGATT